TTCTAAAATTACATTATAGTCACTTCTAAGAAGACACAGAGATCAGAGAGGGTAACACACGCACATCACCATGCACTCACTGATGGCATCGAGCGTCCTCTTCCTCCTAGGGAATCTCCTCCTCGTCCTCTCCAGGCTGCCTCCCTCCCCGCTCCAGGGGCAGCCACAGCCCATGGTTTCTACTCACATGGATTAGCTTTGATTTTTGTCAGATGTCCTCTCAGCAGAGTCACACAGCAAACTGCACAGACTAGAAAAAGGAGCTGAGAGCAAAACTAGCATTCTGCCAGTTGGTGTCTCCGCAATATGTTCTGGACAGTTCCCCATGTTACTACATCTGGATCATCTTCGCTCTTCCTCAAATTCACTTCACCTTTGGGAGCAGCACTGGCCGACCATCCAGGGGGAGAAATTGGGGGCGCCAGGACTAGAAGCAGGAGTGTGGCAAGAGGACGGCGGGGGGCTTTGACCAGGGCAGGGGCAGTCGGGGGCATGGAAGCGGTCAGCTTCTGGATGTGCTGAAGCCAACGCCACGGCCTTTGGCATGACTGGGATGACTTGGAGGTGGTAGGAGATGGGGGCGAGTTGGGGTGTCATATTGGAGGCCTGAAGAGCCCTGAGGTGTAACGTTGGGAAGATACATGAGGACCTTGTCTTGAGGGCTGGGGGAGATGTTGGGTGTTGGTGTGGGACACGTAAACTTTAAGGTATCCAAAGGGAGGTGGTGAATAGGCAGTGAGGTCTGTAATTGGGGGTTCAAGACGGGTTGGGTAAAAAACTACGATGCACACACATATTTTTTGAGAGGGTTGTGTTGGTTGCTTTTTTTTTCTTGCTGCTGGGACAAAATACCTGACGCCCAAAATTAAGGAAGGAAAGGTTTATTTCACTTACAGTTTGTGGAGGTTTCAGCCCATACTTGGCAGATTACAAGGCAGACTGGCACATGGCAGAGGGCTACAGCTCCAGGCGCAGAACACAGCAAAAGCAACAACCACACACCAGGGCAGAATGGGGGAGGAATGGCCTCAAGCACTCTCTTCCTCTCCCTTACATATGCAAACTATCCACCCCAGGGCGGGTGCAGCTCTCACACCCTTAATCAAACTCTAAAAGCCTGACCCATGGCTGCATGAGGCTTTGGGGGGACTCACAGACATAAACCATAACTGGGGTGTTTGCATATAAAGGCTGTTTTAAAACTGCAGGACTTTATACACTGGCATTTTCATTCCATTTTTTCCTGAAATTTCCTGTCATGGAGTATATGCTACTTATTCTTGTGTGTGTATCTTACATCTAGCCACCCTGTCACACAGTTTTGATTTTTCCAATCATAATCCTACTTGTGTATAGGTAATGATGGTGTTCTCTTTCTTCCTAATATTTATACTTTCTTCTTTTCTGTTTCAGGGCTTGGTGGAGTGGTCAAAAGCTCCACAACAAACGACCATAGTGTTGATCGTGTGCGTGCTTTTCCTGTTCCTGGTTTTGACGGGGATGCCCATGATGTTTCACATTTAATCATCCTCCTGGCTGTGGTTTTTAGACAGATGCCCTGTGTCATGTTAAGGAAGCGTCCTGGCTAGAGATCAGGAATGGGTTTTGAATATTATCAAATGCCTTTCAAACATCCATGGAGATGATTTTTTTAAAAAACTTTTTAGTATGAGGTTTTACATTACTGTATTTCATTAAAATTAAGACATTCTTGGCTGTAGAACACATATTATTTTATATACACTGAGAAAGAAAAATGCTAATTAATTGTAAATTGCCACCTCCTAACTTCAGGGAAGGTGAAAAAATGTGCAATTTAGAAACAATGAAATGTAATAGATTTCCTATCAAACCATTTTTTCATTCTAAGGATTGTGGTGCACTGTCTTTTCATATACTGAATTATGTTTTCTTAATATTTTCCTGTAAGATTCTTGCCTCTGTCTTCACATGTGAGATGGGTGCTATTTTTGAGCAGTTTTGGTATAATGGATAAGCCTGCCTCATGGGAACACTTGAGGAACACTGACCCTTTTCTGTGTTTCTGAGTCATTTCTGTAACTTGATTACCAAGCCCCTGCCATTTAAGAGGAACCTACCAATAAAATAATCAGGCTATAGAGTCCTGGAGGGGGAGTTTCAGCTAATTCTGGGGCAGCTTTCTCAGCTCCCCCATATCATCAGTGTGTTAATTCCTTCACTTTGATGACTTGTGATGTTCTTTTTCTCCTAAAGAATTCTCAGTTCTATAGAGTTTTCCAAATTATTATCTTGTTATGTACACTATTTTGCAGTTAAACAAAGATCTTCTCTTTTCATGTTTTGTCTCCATTCTCAACTTCTCTGTGTGGTTATCCCATTATTTGGTTTGTCAAAGGATTACATAGTATTGTTTTGCCAAAGAGTCAGTATTAGGATCTATTTGTATCTGTTATTTCTCTTAATTGTAATAGTTTTTCTTTAATATGTATTGTTTATTTTTATCGTTTTTATTATTTGTCTCAATTTTTAAGTTGAGTATTTAGTCTTTATATTTGCAATAATAGCATACTTACTACAAATGTGTTTCTGGACATAGCCTTGGCCACATCTTGAAGGTCAATAATTTACATTCTTATGTTCTTAGAGAGTACTTTAAAACTCAGTAATTTTGCTCATTATTTTGTTAAAAAATAGTTTTGCGTTCTTGTTTTACTGCACTGTGAATAGAGAATGTAGCCTATGCTATATCTGCTTTCAGAACATTTTAAAAAGCCTTTACTCTAGCCTAGAATGTATCACATTTTTGTAACTGTCTCATGGACACCTCAGATGAGTATGTATTCTGTGTAGAAAACTGTGTCTTTTAATTAACTCGGTCTCATCAATTATATCACTCAGATTCATGTTGTTTAATATTGGCTTACTGTATCTCTCAGAAACCAATAGGATTATGTGAAAATGTTAGTCTGATTGGCTTAGCAATATATTTTTGTAGCGTTTGTGTTAAATATTCAACAGCTGTGCAATTTGATGCAAATAAGTCCAGTATTGTTATGTCATTGCCTATTAAATAATCTACATGAAACACCAAGCACAGTTCCAGCCCTGTAGTAGGTACTCAATAAACGTTAGTTAAAAGCAGACTCCAAATCTTTTGTCAAATGTGAAATAATTGTCTTTAACCAATTTAAACATTTGCTGTAGAACTTTGCTTGTCTAATACTGAGTGACACGGTCATCCTACCTTCTTAAATCGTGTGTGTGTGTGTGTGTGTGTGTGTGTAGACTATTTGTATACTCCTTGTGCCATTTTGTATTAAAAGGCCTTCCCACAACCTGCCTTAGGTTTAGTAGAGAAATCAGCAGGGAGAAGCTGGAGATGACCTCCCCATCCAATTTTTGAGCTGACTGCATGCAACAAGCAACTCATCCTGAAAAGAGCAACCCAGCCAGGACAGGGAGCACAGGCATGTAATTTCTGCACACTGGGAGGCTGAGGCAGGAGGATCATGATTTGAGTCCAGCCTGGGCAATGTAGTGACTTAACAAGACTCTGTCTCCAAAAAAAAAAAAAAGGCTGCGGATGTAGCTCAGTGCAAAGGCCTGGTTCAATCCCCAGCACCGCCACCACCACCACAAACAAACAACATCAAAACAAAAGCAAAAAAAAAAAAAAGGCCTCCACGGTTAGGTTTGTTGGGGTTTGACTAGATACGAATAAGAGAGGCTCAGTTCCCCTCCGTCCTTCATTTGCTGCACCTCAGAGAAGACCACCGTCCCGGCCTCAGGCTGCAGTGAGCCTTGCCTGTCGCAGCGACGCTCGCTGGGTTGTTTCGGGAAGCTGGCGCTGCTTTCTGCTTTCTTTTACATTTGGATGCGATTTCTGGGTGCTACGCACGCCTGTGTTTTACAGGACGGGAGGAATGGGCCACTTTCCGCTCCCTGCTTTCTTCTGGGTCCGCAGGGTGGGAACATCGGGGCCCTTGGGCAGTGGCTCCCCTCCTTTCCAGCCGAGGGTCCTGGGCAAGTTGACTAGCCCGGCCTGCGACCTGGGTGGCGGCTTGGGGAGAGGAGCATCCCCCCGAACACGTGACATCTTCAGAAAGCCGGCGGCGGAGTCCTGCACTTCCTCCCGGGCGCCACCCTGACAGGAGACGCCGCGGAGTGGGTCCGCGGGCCAGGAGAGGCACGGGTCGGGACAACGCGGCGCTGCGTGTGACCCGTTGTGGCGGCGTCCTGTCCTTCCCCGCAGGGCCCTCCGGGTGTGGAGAGCCCTCCTCTCGCTAGAGCAGCTAAGTCTTCTTCAGGTACTTCTTTATTTTTGGTGGCTCGGGAGACCGAGTCGAGGGCCGTGGCTCTGAGCCACATCCCCAGCCCTTTTCTCATGTTTTACTTCGAGATAGGGTCTTGCTAGGACACTAAGTTGCTCAGGCTGGGCTTGAACTTTGATCCTCTTGTCTCGGCCTCACAGAGTGCTGGGATCACCGGCGTGCACCGCCACAGCTGACTTAAACCCTCGTTTAAATGGCAGTTATTTTCCGATCTCTTTGACCACTGTGTGTGAAATGCATCATGAAGTTGTGCACCGCGTGCTGCGTTAGAGCCTTAGGATCCAGTTGCATCTCATCCTCTGTGCGTGTGTGTGTGAGGTGGTGTGTGTGATGTGTGTGTGATTGTGTGCCCGTGTGTGATGGTGTGTGACTGTGTGATGGTGTGCTGGTGCAGGAGTGATTGTGTGACTGTGAGTGACTGTGTGGACTGATTGTGACATGGTGAGTGTGAGAGAAATGGTGTGAGAGTGTGTGTGATGGTGTGTTTTGGTGTAGGAGTGTGATAGTGTGTGTGACTGATTGTGTGGACTGTGATTGTGTGTGACTGATGGTGCGTGTGTGTGACTGTGTGGGATGGTGAGCTGATAATGTATGTGTAATGGTGTGTGTGTGACTGTGTGATGGTGTGCGACTGATGGTGTGTGTGAGAGAGATGGTGTGTGTGTGTGATGGTATTGGTGTAGAAGTGTGATAGTGCGTGTGTGTGGACTGTGTGTGATTGTGTGTGACTGATGGTGTGTGTGAGAGATGGTGTGTGTGTGATGGTATTGGTGTAGAAGTGTGATAGTGTGTGTGTGTGGACTGTGTGTGATTGTGTGTGACTGATGGTGTGAGAGAGATGGTGTGTGTGTGTGATGGTATTGGTGTAGAAGTGTGATAGTGTGTGTG